CCTCCCTCCCTCCCTCCCTTTGTTTTTTCTTTTTCGTCTTTTCGAGACAGGGTCCCATGACGCAGTTCAGCCTGGCCTTGAGCTCACTTTGCAGCCCAGACTACAACTCACCCGGACCTCTGCTTCAGCCATCCAAGCGCCCTGCCACACCTCGCTGTTTTTTAAATAAATTCTCACCTGCCACTATCTCCTACAGCTCTAAAGAGTCTTCTCTTTACACTTTCTGTTAGCATACAATAAACTTTCAAGGAAAGAAAAAGAGCTGAGTGAAAGTTCAACAGGCTACCCTTGCTGGAAAGGCTGTACCGGAGAAAGGAATTAGTGAAGTTCAAGCATCAGTCACTCAAGGGTGGCACAGAAAGTTCCACGCTGAACAGTAAACACTGACGGATACATCAGAACTGAGCGCACCGCAAGGCCTGGTGTGGGGTACACTGACTGAGTCCGCTTAAAGACCAAGGGTTACAACTCTGTAGCACTGTTGTGTTTAGTTGTAGGACAGTGTTGTGAGCATTTTATCGCGTGAAGCAAAATGGAGTTCAGAAGAATGCCAGCGCTAGTGATAGTACTGATGGGAATAAAAGGAGAAAATGAAGACTTCTAATAAAATTAAGGATTATAGCTAGAAAAACCTCCTTCTGGGATGATCCCCGAAGACTGGGACTGTGGGCACGCCCCACCTTGCCTGGCTGGAGGAGGAGGAAGGGCTTGGGGAGGGAGAGATTTTGAAGACTTCGCCTATTATACCTAGACCTTTAGGCGGTACTATAGAAATTAGCATATTAAAAGTTCCCTGTGGTCTTCCCATAAAGAAACCTGTTTAACCTAATGTTTCCCAAATTTATTTGTCCCAGAACCCTTTTTTATGTAATACTTATTTAAAATATATCCCAGAACAAGCTGTGTGTGGTGGTTTATGCCCGCCGTCCCGGTACTCAGGAGGCTGGAGCAGGAGGCTTGCTGCGAGCTCGGCCAGCCTGGGCTGCACGGTGAGTTCAAGGCCAGCCTGGACTACATCTTGGACTACGGAGGGAGACGCTGTCTCAAAACATAAATAAAGAAGTAAAAGGAAGAAAGAAAACATCTCACAAAATACTCTAGGGAATGTCGTTTTTCAATTTCTTAGTGACAGGTTTTTGTTTTTCCTTTTTTTTTTTCTTTTCCTGGAGATCGAATCCAGTTCTCTACCCCTGAGCTACATCCTCAGCCCTCCTACTGTCACAGGCTCCCTTAGGATAGAAGTATTACAGGAAGTCAGACAGGGCCAGGCCCTCCAAGGAGCCGGTGTGGAAGACAAGATACCTTACAAATGGAGCGGTGGTACTTGCTTTGGGTCAGATCTCAAGACCAAAGACTAAACAAACACACCCTCTTAACTCCCAAGGGATGGATATCAGGGATTGACATTCTAAATAGGCAGCGATCACCTTGAAGAGTCCCTGACCCGACCTTACAGGAAAAGGCCCTGTTCTGTGTTCATGTCCGCTTGCTGTGTGACTCGCTTCCCCATTTGATCCCGGTTTGATCAATTTTACCTGAACAATTCTTACTGGCTGACCATAGTTTTGTCCAT